TCTTTTATTACTTATTCCATTATTTTTATTTTACCTTTTTTTTGCAATGAATTGGATATATGTTCAGGAATTTAGATTTGCTTTCTTATTTTATAAATGTGATGATATTTTTTCGGCCATTCATTTACTTTACAAATTGGCCACTTATATTGTTAAAACCTGTTGAGGAACTTGTTGAGGAACTTATAAGGAACTTATAGACCCGGAAGGGCTAAGATTTCTTGACTTATAAGTATCACATTCTACCTAAGAAAGAGCAGTCGTGATCGTCTGTAGGGGGTTACAAATAAAAAGGGAGATATGATTTGATGGGTGATGTTTCTAGGGTGACATGCTAGATTCTCTTATTAATTTGGTCTAGAGATTGGAACTAAGGGTGACTGGTAGATCCTATAGAGAGGGCACGGTGAGTAATCTACAAGTGAGAGCCTAAAACCTACCCAACACTACTATATATGTCGACACCAACTTTAGATTAGCCAATGTTCTTTACACAATTAGAGAAGTAGAGAATAGGTATTCTCCTACTTGTCACTTTAACATTATATTTTAAGCATTTCATTCCTATACATTATCTAGGTCAACACACGAGAAGGGTTTTCTTTAACATCTCAAAATTCTTCGGACCAATTAATCAAGATAAGTTATCTTTAAAATTAATATTTATATTTAGGAATAGTTGTTATCCTTACATTTAATATTTACATTTAAGAGTAGTTGCTAGATAAAAAATATTCTTAATTGACCTTCCAACCTAAGACTTGATAGTAGTAGACTAGGATTTTTTCCTAAGGGCATTTCTACCTCGCTTCTCTGTGGGATTGATACATTGGGTTGTAAAAGAAAACCCTACATTACTTGAAAATATATGTATACTTGTAGTACCCCTAGTGTGTAAACTATTTTCTAAATTTTATAAGATTTTGATTTTGCACACTAGCCGCTAAATATAAATTTGGGTCAAGTTTTTGGCCATCTTTGGCCATCTTTTGGAAGTCTTTTGGAAGCTAAATTACTGTGTAATTACAGGTTGGGTCAATCACTCCCCGATTGAGTGACCACAATGCACTTGTACAACTTTTTATTTGCATGTGCATTTTTGGTTGTCTCAATGAAGATGTCTTGTTAGCTGAGTGACCCATTGTTGGTCATGATGTGATAGTGAGTATTGCCTAGGAGGATGCCTTGATGGGTCAATACTTGCAACCACATTGTGAATAGCATGTGCCTGGTGTGCTAAGGTTCCAAAAGGATTAAGCATTATACTTTCAAGACCTATTTTGAAACTAGTTACATCCCCTAGCTTTAACCACACATAAGGTCAACCTTTTTAAGCTGCTCGCAAAACCTGTATCTAGTAACACCTCTTAGAATCCTTAGATCTTTATGATGGGGTCGAGGACAGTGACCCCGTCAAAACATACACCCACCATTTTACTTTCACCTTGCACTCATTTAGATGCTTTAACTAGGACACTACACTAGATGTTGTGTTAGGATAGGACTATGGTGCTAGGTGGTATTTTTAATGTCCTGACTATAGTTCTATACTGGTTTAGTTTCCCTAGCCATGCATCACTTTCTTATGCTTTTGTGTTTACTGGGGTGTCAGACATGCACACTAGTATGTTAGGGTAGTTTTCTTGTAGAGTGTCATGTCCAACAAGGAGAAGCTGTAATAATTTATACTAACTCATTTTCTACAGGTGTTGTTAACCCTCCTCCCACCAGGCATGTTTCATTACATTGCATGCCTATAGCCTGCACTAACCCCTTTCTTCTGTAGGTTGAGCCTTTTTTTATTTTCTATATATACCTTTTAGAGTTCTTAGGCTTCAGTCCTATATTATAAATAAGGTACATGCAAGGGTTTTGAGGTGCCAGACGAATGAAATCATATGAAGGAGACAAGGGGCTGCTTGCTCATGTCTTGTCCCTTACTTCTAAACCTCTTTTGTGTATAGAATTAGGACAAGACATGTATATGCGTTGACTGGCTGTCTTTCTGTTTCTGAGATATGTTGCTGACCCAATGACACCTGCCCCTATATTTTTCTTACCTGACATACTTTTTATAGATTGTGTTGTGCTCACCCAGTTACTCCTTTTTCTACTTTTGGATTGTCTGGAATCATGTACTATCATTTAGGCTCTCTAAGAACGTAAACATATATAATTTTCTACAAAATCCTAATAAGCGATTGAGTTTGGTCAAAATTTAGGATTAAAATATTTAGGATTTTTCAAAATTTATTTTTACTTTCCTACATGACCTTCAAGCCAGATTTTAAATAGGTTGCATTGCATGACCATCACTTAAGTCATAATAATAGGGACTCCACACTTAGGACTGATTATACAATCATACTTGCATATCTCGAGGATAAGTCCCCGTGCCTCGCCAACCTGACGGACCCATCATAGATTTCTACTTAGATAGTTTTTTAGTGCATTTAGGGTGTTAGAGGTTTTTTTGATCCAAACGGGGAATAAGTCCTTTGTGGGAGTGTTTTTAACTTTGTAGTTAGACCTCCAGTGGCAACCTCACCACTTTAACGGGCATAAGTCTCATCTCTAATCTTCCTACTTACATAAGTTTAAAGGACTTAGAGTTTCCTTCTTTTTGACCTTAAGGTTATCGAGGTCCTCTTAGATGACAAAATTAACAAATTACTAACAAGGAATCTTAGGTTGTGTTGAGTTGACTACTTTCACGACCAGGTAGACTTAATGTCTTAATAGCTTGGGATGGTAGATCCATAGTATCTTCACCTAACTATCATACACGATTAGGATCACTCTACCCTTCCTTCGTTATCCCCTTTGAGCCTTGTCACTCTTTTTCATGCTTTGTCGATGTCATCTCTTAGACCTCGATTGCAGATAGGTCATCACCCATTTGGAATACGGTGATTCGCCATTTACCCTTATGACTCAGCTAGGGTTTGAATCATAGTTTGGACCTAGGAGTCGACGGGCTATTTCACTGCGTCATGCACCGATGAGTCGATACTCATTTGGGATTTGAGAGATCCATTCTCTACCTTATGGCTTAGCGAGACCTTCGAAATTCATGGGATTTTACTACAAGGTAACATTCCTTTGTGACACCCTGTACTAGTCGTAATCTAATGTAAGAAGTACTTCTCTAATTGAGATGTAATTAACCAAAGGGATACGTTCCTTTGGGTCATAACAAAACAGTATCTTGGTTCTCTAGTTACTTGGGTAGCTTATGTAGGTATTATTTCATGGTCATCTGATTCAAGGTGTCTCAATCTTATCTTATTTAGTATACAACCTTGATCTATAGCACAAGATTTACCTCACGTATGCTCTTCAAGTTCTTTTCAATTTATTTGCCTAAGATCTATCTTAATTCCTTCTATTCTGACCTCTCCTCTACTCTGAAACATTAATACGATTCAGGTAAGAGAGCTTACTAAAAAAGAGAATTCTAAGACGATGACTAGACAAGCTGGCGACTCTGAGTTACAAAAAGAGCAAAAAAGAACAAGCATGGTAAATTCCTCTAAATTAGAGTACTTCATATTAATCAGTTCTACTAGCACAACATGGTAAATCACCAGCTTTGCACCAAGCTAGAGGTGTATAGGCTGACCATCAGAAAACTCAGTCGTCTTCCATGTAGAAACTTTCTTCGCCAAATCATTGTTTTCCTCATGAATGATTGTAATCCACTTTTATGTGCTATATAGCTCTTTTTCGGCTTCTTCTAGCCAAGCCTCTATCACGACCACCCGATCCTAAGCTTCCTTCATTGGAGCCATATCGATCCTTGCCCTCTTCTTAGACTTAAAAGCCTCTCTCTTTGGCACCACGATAAAGAGAAGACAAGTGGCATATGGCCGCAATTCACAGTAGCTAGTATTGGTTGATTGTTTGGCAGAGATCTTGAGGGTTGGACTGCTTTAGACACTTCTCAAAGCATTATGACCAGAGGACATTCGCTATTGTCGAGACATACATGTTAGCTCCCAGAGTACTTGGAAACCCGTCCCTTATTATATTAATTAGTTTCGATTGGGAGTCCTTGCTCACGAAGGCTTTTGGGTGCTCCTCGCTTGAGACCTCATTCTATCACTTTTTGAGAGGTAGGGGAAGCGAGGTATCCAACCAAGTGTTAGAGGCTTGCCCTTCAATTGGAGAGCTTCTTTGGCTCGAGCCTCCCTGCACAAGTTTCTTCAGATGCAACAGCAGGCACAGACTCTGGCTCATACTCAATTTGAACCTGAGGAGAGGCTTGGAATTTAATTGATGAAGCTTGTGGTGTCGCCTATCCGAGGACTCGCTAGCTCTGAATCTAACCTGGTGTCGCCTACCCTAGGATTCGCTAGCTCTGAATCTGACCATTCATCTTAAGGCTCCTCAGCACCAAACCTCAAGTAACTTTCTTTCGCCTTCTTGGTCTTGTGTACGGTAGGTTCTGCTAGGGTCCGAACTGTGAGGTTTTACTTGTCAATTTTTATTCCAAACCTTCCTGGCAATTTCTACCCTCGGCGCTCACCCTTGAATTTTCCCATCTCTGAGTGACTTTTGGAAGTTTGTGGTTAGTTTTATTCCAAATTAATAATATAACTGTGTAATTATATATTTAAGGAAAATTTACACATACCACACAATTCTTGTAAGTTACATATCTAGAGCCTAAAGTTTGATATTTATATTTATAACAGTTGGGTATTAAAAATCTTGAAATGTGTATTTCACTTCTAAAGTATCAATAATAATGTTTTTTTTTATATGATTTTAAAAAAATGATGTACATATGAGAATTATATATATATAAGAATTGATTTTAAATGCCTAAGAAAATTAATTGATTTTAAAATATTAAACAATTAAAATTTTAGATTTAATACTTAGATGCTTTTTATCGTATAAAAATTTGTTTTAATAAGAAGAAAAAGTAAAATCAAGTATCTAATTTAGAAGATTAATCTCTCGACAGCCAAGTCAATTAATTCATTTCCATGTCCGGTGCATCGATCAAACGGAGCTAATCGCTGAATAAAGCCTGGAAGGAAAACACGCGGCGTCCATTTTTTCCAGATTCTCCCCCCAAGGCCCCAACTAGTCCCGCTGATTTTAGATGCAGTCACTGGAAAATTTTTTCCATACGGAGTCGACGGAGTGCTCAGCATTTGGCTTCCACGAAAGCGGTGACGGTGATGGGGCTGGAGAACCTTGGGGAACATATACTGGAGGCGATCTTGTTGAAGCTTGGGCCTCGAGAGACGATCGTGATTGGCTGTGTCAGCTCCGGGCTCCGGGTAGTCGCCTCAGGAGAGAATCTTTGGCGCAATTTCTGTGTCTCTGACTTCGATCTCTCATCGCCTGAGGACCCCCAAGGAAGGCCTTGCCCTTCTTTTAAGGTCCGTATTTTCATTTCTATTTCGGTTTACTCTATATTTTCCAAATTTGGTGCTGAAGCTTGTATTGGTATGAGAGAATTTTCAAGTTAAAACCTTCATTGCTTGCTAGATTGGGTTTCTTACAATTGGGTGAGCCAGAGCCAGCATCTCTCATGATCCCGCGCTAGTTTTTGGTTTATTCTAGCGAAGTTCGACACTGTCCCGTTTTTGAGTGGCTTGAGGAGAAATTGCTTAATACTTCCATAGTTGCAGCCAATCCCTGAAAGGGGGTTCGGATGGAGTTTAATTAATTCTCATAAATTAGTAGCGCAACATGATTGATGGAATTAGGCCAATTCATATTTTTGTGCATAATGTTTAAGCATGACTTTCGGTTTGGCATTTATATATACACACACACACACACACACACACACACACACACATACTTAGTTTTTGAGGTCGAAGAGTGTCGAACCAAACTTCCTTGTTACTGTTGAGGATGAAGGATCCATAGAAATCTCCATTACGATCGTTTGACACTCATGTACGCACGTGCATGCATGAACAATTGTGTCCTTTTCTCCATTGATGTCATCCAAACATCGCCTCCGACACTATCGTTCGAACCATCTGCTATGGAGCTCATGATGAATAATCAATCGTTGTTGTTTGAACATCTCCTCTGATACTCACATATGCTCGATGGCTACTTCGTATCTAATTGGTCGTCCGACTCTTCCAATCGAGGTCGCTACTTCATCATCTCAGAGTTGAGATCATAGTAACGTTATTCACCCGACTCTTCCAATCTAAAACCATCTCAGAAACTGTTCATTCGAACAATCCGAGTAGATCAGATCACAAAAATGTTCTTTCTCTTCGGTTTTCTAAAGAACCGCTTTCTTCTGAGCAACATGTCTTCTCGATTCGGGCCTCACAATTTTATCATGGTCAAATATGGCATGACCTCACAATCTTTTTCATCTAAAGTATCTTTATATTAAGTTTACATATTCAGTACCCAACATGTTTGACAACCCTTCTCATCTAGTCACTAACTATAAACTGCATGATCAAAATTTCTTCAAAGATCTTGATCTTTGTTCCTATGCGTTTGCGATAGAGGAAAAAATGGACATCTCATGCTAAAATTTTGCTCCATAAATGACAGATTCTAAATACCAAGCTTGAATAATTGATGACCACTTGATTATGTTATGATTAATAAATTCTATGATTATGTATATTGGAGAAAATTTTGCTCTATAGGATAGCCAATGAAACATGGGAGGTTACTCGTAAAACTTATTCTAGCAATGAAAATTTTTTAGAGTTATTTGAGTTTGAGACCAGACTACATGGTCTAACACACAATATTTTAACACTCACACGTTGGTTCCAATTGGACTTGTACGAGGTTTATTCCTTGAATTGCCTTAATGACTTTGCCTCGTATAGGAAGATTTTTGAATAAAAGAGTACCATCAAATTGCTTCTTGGCCTTAATAAAGACTTAGATGAAGCCAGGGGAGAACCATAGGAATTAAATCCCTTCCTACCATCTGGGAGGCATTTGATGAAGTTTGAAGGAAGGAAAACAAAAACAAGTTAATGATGACAGATAACCACACGACACCATATGTTGAAAGGTTAGCCTTATACACTCATAGCTCTTCTCTGAATAATAAGCTTAAGAAAGGACGAACGTGATGCGATCATTGAAACCTGATCATGTGAAGGAAATATTTTGAAAATAATACAAAAAAAAAAAAATCCTGCACATTGAAAGCCATCCAGAAAGCCATCCAATGGATTACATAATAGGAAGAACTGTGCACATACTACTACCATAACAAAAAATAATGCAAAATTCAGTCCATTCACCATAGAGCAAATTGAGGTACTACAGAAAATATTGAGTAATGGTCACAGTTTCAGACAAGTAATATAATCCTCTACCGAGCAACCAACCAGTTCGTTTGCACATCGAAGTATCTCATCACATGCTTTTATTGTTCAAAACAATAAATCAAAATCTTGGATGGTTGAATCCATAGCCTCATATCATATGTGGGAGACATCAACGTCTTCAAAAATTACAACCCATGCACCCGTCACTCCCAAGTCTGAACAACTAAGGGCTCATTCTCACCAGTAGAAAGAACTGGATCGATCGAATTGACAAATGATCTTCATCTCTACTTTGTTCTTTGTGCTCTAAAATTAAATTACAATCTACTCTCAGTCACCAAACATGTGATGTATAATGTGTGATTGAATTTTATTTCAACGTTTATGATTTTCCAGGTAGTGAATTCAGGAAATGTGATTGGCAATGCTAAGATGCTTAATGGTCTATATCTACTCAACGAAAATAATCTCATCGATAGATAAGTTCATTTGCAAATTGTATTTTTGAGTCTAGTTCAAATTTTGTTAATCTAGTTTTCAATTCTAAGTCTGTTTTAGTTCAAAGACAAGTCATTTTAAAGCATTGTCTCATTGGTCATCCAAATTTTGCTTCCATTAAAAAAATATTTTCACATCTGTTTATCAATAAAAAAAATCCAATGTTTATCAATTTGAAACGTGCAAACTTTCAAAACATGTCAGACATGTATACTCTAAACTACATTACAAACATTCATATTCTTTTATTGTAATTCACAGTGATATTTAGGAACCCTCCCAAAGTAAAAACTATAAATACAGCATGATGATTTCTACCTATTGTATGTTACTTTCTTTGAGAATCAATCTTACTTTCCCAAATCTGAATTTCAGGGGGAGAACTCAATAGAATATTAAATTTGGGATCTTTCTCCAAGACATTCAAATTGAATCAAACCCTGCCACTCAAACAATTGAACCAAATCTTACCACTCAATCAACTCCGTATGAAGAACCAAACTCTGCCACTGAAATGTCCCAATTGTCTACACCACCTCTACTTGACACCAGTGATCAGGAACTTCATGTCTATACCAGAAGGAGCATGTAGAGTACACCTGTACACAAGGAACTATCAAGAACCTAAACCAAATCCTCTTACATCTGATAATCGTAATGGTATGGATTTTTTATCTCATTTTTGAAGGTGTATTGATCATCCAATCGAATGATATATAGCTTATGAAAATTTGTTATCATCGTGAAGAACTTTTGTGATAAATCTTGATAGTGTGCTGGTTCTTAACTCTATTCAAGAAATTCTAAAGGTTTCAATATGGAAACAATCAGTTGTGAAGAAATCCGGGCTATAAAAAATAATAACACATAAACACATACAGGGTTACCGCATGAAAGAAATCCAGTAGGCTACAAATGGATATTCATGGTTACATACAAAGGAAATAGAAGTGTAGAGAGATTCAAAGCCAGATCGGTAGCCAAGGGTTTGACACAGTCATATGTAATTGAATACCAAGAAATCCTTGCACCTGTTGCGAAGCTCAATACTTTTTGGGTTCTACTCTCTTTTGCAGTAAATCAAGAATGATTTTTATACCAACCAAATGTCAAAAATGCTTTATTGAATGAGGACATTGATGAAGAAAATTTTATGTCTATATATCCTGTCTTGTAAAATAGGTCGAATAATAAGTTGGTCTACAAGCAAAAATCCTTTTATGGTTTGAAGCAATGTTCCTATACTTGGTTTGACAGGTTTGCTAAAGTTGTGATTACAAAAAGATATCATCAGTTGATCATACACTGTTTGTTAAATTCAATCCTAGAGGCAACAATGCAATTCTAATAGTATATTTTGATGATATTATTTTGGCAGGTGATGATTTAGAGAAAATTATTATACTAAAACGTATGTTTGCCATAGAATTTAAGATCAAGGATCTCGGGACTCTTAGATACTTTATGAGAATGAAGGTGGCTCAATCTACTCAGGGAATTGTTATATCCTAAGCTAACAAATCAGACTCGACTTGACTCATTAGCTCATGAGCTGGCTCGTTTAAAAAATAATTAATATAAATTATACTCAAAATATATTAAAATTGAAAACAAGATTTTTAAATTATTAAAAGTATTAAAAAAATAATATTTAATATTTTATATCAAGTAATTTTGTATTAATTTTTTGTTAAATTCTTATTTTATTTGTTATTTTATTATAATAATAGCTTGAATTAATATTATTTTCTCTCTTTCATATTAAAAAAGTTGATTCAAACTCATAGATCTAAGTCAAGCTTAAGCTCAAGCTGAGGATGGCTCAAGCTTGACTCAACTCGTCTATACCCCTACTCCTGGATATATGTTGATTTTAAGAAAATTTGAAAATTGTGATATTGAGATATAGATAGATGCTAGTTGGGAAAGAAAGACAATTGATAGGATATCAACCACTGGATACTGCTTAAATTTCTAGGGCAATCTCACACTTGGAGAATCAAGAAACAAATTTTCTTCTCCCAAAGTAGTGCTTAATCTGAATATTGCGCTCTTGCATTCGCAATATATAAAGGAATATGGCTTCATAAACTATTAAGAAAATTTAAGGTTGAGATAAAAGGACAAAATTAAAATGTTCAGTGATAGCTGGGTGGCTATTAATATTGCTAAAAATCTCGTGCATCATGGCATAACAAAACATATCGTGATTCATCGACACTTCATCTTTGAAAATGTTAACAATGAAAATTTTCCGCTCGACTATGTTTCTATACGAGTTTAGATTGCTGATATTCTTACCAGAGCACTACTAAGGGTCATTTATGATGAATTGAAAAGTCCAAACTTAATTTGCATAATATATACAACCCGGCTTGAGGGGGAGTATAGGAAAGTACAAATCTGCATTTTGAAGGAATTTATTTCTTACTTTCAAAATATATTCTACTAATGTCGTTTCTTTTTATTTTTATTTCCTATTTTTATTTTTTCATCTTTAGAGGGATTCTTTTTTATTTTCTGTTGTTATTATGTATATGGAGTGAATTGTAATGCTTTAGAAGACACAAGAAATAAAATTCTTTCTCAGAATTTTCACGTAATCTTCA